TAGTAAATAACTACAATAACTTTTTTACATGTGCTAGCGTTCAAAAGATTGGGGTCAGCAAGATTTATCAAAGACAGAGTAAAACAGTAAAATTGTGAAACATTATTACAATTTAAAATGTGTCTATTTTAATATATTTTACACTGTAATCTATTCCTGTGATGGAAAAGCTGATTTTCCAGCAGCCATTATTTCAGTCTTCAGATCCTTCAGAAATCATTGAAACATTTTCTATTTTTATCAATGTAAAAACAGCTGTTCTGCTTAATATTTGTTTTTGATCTGTTCACGAATAGAAAGAACAGTATTTCTTTGACAGCATTCATTTGTGACAATGTAAAAGTATTTTCTGTCACTTTTGATCAATTTAATACATCCTTGCTGAATAAATAAAAAAAAAACACATTTTTAAACACTGCTGTATATAGACTGCAATTACCTTCTGTTCATTGAGTTTCTGGAATTCAAAAGATGAATTCCGCACTATACAGTATGTGATGAATGATATGCTTCTTTTTAACAGGCATGTGACATCTAGCACATTAAGTGTTGTTTCACTTCACGTGTTTTTCTGAACACGCAGTAAAACATCAGGGACATTTCCAAGGACAGCACCAGCCGGCGACAGACGTCTAGTCACCCTTTTCCTAAAAGCACAATAGTCTTTACCCCCCTGATGTATCTTGATATTTGTTCTATCTATCCTCTCACATTCTCTCTTTTTGCTACCTGTCCGATCTTAATCGCTGATCTCCACCTCTCATTCACTGCTCCGCAGTCATTTGCCGATTGAGAAGTTAAGGCTTTGGGTGACTAATAATTTAGCACTTTAGTTGCAGTGCCGTTGGACTCAGGCCTGGTACAGTGAATCTGGAATGTGGAGTTGAGAGTGACACAGGCTAATAATAACTCTCGTCCTGTGCTGATAAGAAGACCTAGTCCATTCAGAGCCTGGGGCGGAAACCACAAAGACTAAAAGATTAAGACAGCAGAGCTTTCTACTGATGGAATAAGGTGTGGTTACAGAAACCTTTTGCTCATGTTCTCTCTTTCTCAACCCAGTTTCACAATCAGTTGTTAAGCTTGCCCTTTGCCCTGATCTACATGATATTAAACTTAAAAAAAAATCATTTATTTATTTTAAAAATTATTTATTTTTAATGTAATATTTTAACCCTTTTTTGCACATACAGTATCTCACAGAAGTGAGTACACCCCTCACATTTTTGTAAATATTTTATTATATCTTTTCATGTGACAACACTGAAGAAATGACACTTTGCTACATTGTAAAGTAGTGAGTGTACAGCTTGTATAACAGTGTAAATTTGCTGTCCCCTCAAAATAACTCAACACACAGCCATTAATGTCTAAACCACTGGCCACAAAAGTGAGTACACCCCAAAGTGAAAATGTCCAAATTCACTCACTACTTTACAATGTAGCAAAGTGTCATTTCTTCAGTGTTGTCACATGAAAAGGTATAATAAAATATTTACAAAAATGTGAGGGGTGTACTCACTTCTGTGAGATACTGTATAATGTTTATCATAGCCTACATCAATACATGTATTATTTGTTTTCAAAGCCTTCAAATTGCACTGGGCAGGATGTAGAATAACATTTTTGTAAATTATTAATTAGTTTTATTATAACTTTAATTAATTATAATTTCTTTATTTTTATTTAATGCATTATAATTGTTCTTTTTTTGTCATCCAATTAACCAAAGAAATCAACAGATAAATTATCAAAATAATCATTAGTCAGCCCTAGATTATAGGCAGGCTTCATTTGTAGAGTGTTTAGGCAGACACGCTTCTTCTTCTTCTACACGCCAATCCCTATTTTCAGACATGACAACAAGTGTTACATTTTCATGAGACTTTCATTCATCGGTATGTCATAATGAAACAACTGCTGTGAGACTGACATCATGCGATATAAATACTGCTCAACCCAAGCTGCATTTAGATCACCACAGTTCTCCAGATGCTCAGTTAAACAGATAGTTCACCCAACAATGACAGCTCAGTCATCATTTACTCACACTCAAGTCATTCTGCCTTTCTTCCGTGGAAAACAAAATATATTTTTAAAGATCAGATCAGTTTTATTCGTCCTTTGAAATCAGTGTGGTCCACTGTTGTTTTGGACTCATTTGACTTTCATTGCATGTACAATAAATATCTTCTTTTTTGACCAACAGAAGTAAGTAAGTCATACCGATTTGGAGGAACATAAAAGTTGAGCGAACTATTCCTTTAAGTCATAATACTAATTATAAGTAACGCTATCTCATGGCATTGAAACCAACCAAAACTGTCATTGTAGACCACAAGAGTGTTTCAGATAAGAATGAATTATGGCATGAATTCAAACAGCATGTAACAGGTTTACAATTCAGTAGGGCCTTGCCAAAAAGGTGTAATGATTTATAACCAACTAAGACAGAGCAGATAAGAGTTTCATCGGATGAAGAATAAAATCTATTAAACAAATATGTAAATATTGAATATTGGCCAGTACAAAAGCTCAGAACTTTAAAGAATTAAAAGGATCAGCATTGATTGCAAGGATCTTTTTAGGTGGAGGTTATAGGATTTCTTCTGAAGGGGAGCGGACACTCAAGAACAGTTCATTCTGTTCTCAACAACCATTATCATGACATGGACCACTGAGCGGATACAAAACACTTGGATCTGATGAGCCTCAACCCCACTGTCACAGCGCGTTTCCATTACCCTTCAAATTGCGCAAATTGAAATTGCGAATTGAAAATACGCCTAATGGAAACGCGTCAATTTCGCAAAAACTCCCATATATCGCAAAAAAGTTTTTACGCTCGCATGAGGTGGTTTTTCAGGCAATGCGAAAAAGGAATAATTCGCAAAACTGCAATGGAAACGGCTTTTTCGCATTTACAGGTCACATGGCATATGTAAAAAGTCATATGATCATTCTTCAACGTACTATAACCTCCAAGAAACACTTCATAAGTGGCCGCGCTCCAGTATAAGGGGCTTTCCCTACCATTAATGCTTAGACTATAAAATATCGCCAAAGTTTTGCGCAAATCTGTAATGGAAACGCGATGCACTCCTAAAACTGTGGGCGGAATGTTCCTGTGAAAAACTCAAAATTACAATTCTTTCATCATTTTCTCATCCTCATGCTTTCATTTTAATTATTCTGTGGAAAACTAAAGAAATTTTTTTTTTCAAAATGTCTTTAACTGAATCTTTGAAAGTTACTGGATGTTCTTCAAAACATTCCACAGAAGAAAGTCAGTCAGGTTTGGAACAAAATGAGGATAAGTAAATGATCAAATTAGTGATGCGAAATAAAACTCCCAATACTGAAAAATCTACACAAAATCAGACACAAATGCAAAAATCACACAGATCAGCCTATTGCATGTCCTGACACTGTTGAAAAGTCAAATTATCAACTCAGAAATCAAGACATTTGATCAGATTTGGGTTAACAAGACTGGGGAGTGACTGGGTGTCAGGTCAAATTTCAGACAATGACGGCCCTTACAGAACATTGACAAAACCCTGTTAGTCATCCTGATACAATGGGTGGGTTTTTATGTGTATAATATATATATATATATATATATATATATAACTCAGACTCTCTCTGATCATTGATACTAGTTCTTCTCTGTTTGTTTTTGTGCAGCCCTGTGGCACTCTAAAGAGTCTCAAGTTGCTTCTGGAATCTCTCAGGTCTTCAAAATTACAAGCTTAACATTCCTTGTGAATCAACACAAGATATCCAAGACACAAGGAATCCACCCTGACTGCATCTAACCTTTAAAACATAAACCACAGTGCACACAATGTGTCTGGCTGGCATGCAATTGAACCAACATGCAAATTGTCAGTGTTTACAAAGCTATAAGGGAGCCAGAAAACTCAGAACAAGTTGTAGCAGGATAAGACAGATATGTATATATGTAGCCAAAAAGCATCTGGCTTTCCTCTTGACAGGCCTTATATTTTCATGACGCTTTATGTATTAATATTCTGAAGAACACAACATACTACAAACTACAGTAGGCTATTACTAAATAAATAAAAGCTCGAATAAGCTTTTGGGTGATTCAAAGACATCATTCAGGTTGAATAATGAATAATATATTGTTTAGTGGACAGTTCAATGAGCACCGACTTCAAAAGCTCCTGCGTGGTGCGTTTTCAAGACATCTGATTTCCATTAAAGCGCTCGAACTCCTCCTCGTACACTTCCTTACACAAAGGCGCCTTTAAAAAACCTTTCGACATAGTACACATTTTTTAAATAATATATATATAAAAATAAAAAAAAAGGTTACTAAAACGGCCTGGCATAACAGACACGACCGAGTCCACTGTACAATCCACATCGCCTTCTTAAAGCCAAGTAAAACTGCGAGCTGGACTCTCAGTGAAGACTCAAAAGCACAATAACATAAATATTTTCCTGTACCTTGAATAGCTGTAATAGTTGTGAGGTTCTCGTGCCGTAAAGTCCTAGAACTTAGTCCCGCCGAGCATGGATGTGTTACATGGCAAGTTGGAAAGCATTTAAACGGTGTTTAACTCTTGTCTGTGAAGTCCTGAGATATTCAGTCCAGCCCACTGCTTCTGAAACCCGACCCAGGTGCTCCAGACGCACAGCTGGCGCAGGTAAACAACGCGCTGTGATGGGCGCTGAGAGATTTATTTTATTTGTTTCTTATTGGTATCGTACGGTGATTGTTATCGTGCATTTATTTTAGAGCTATTTAGAATACGTTGTTTTGTAAAAAAAAAAAATTTCATATACTATAATATAAACTACGTAAAAAAAACAAAGGACGATTAGAGTTATATTTTTCACTTAAAATAAAAAATAAAACAATAATAATGATAATATTGCGCGAAACGCGCGTTTTAGCTCTCATGAATATTAATATTGCGTCATTAATATTACGCGTAGCATCGCCCACATGACGTCCTTATCCTCCCGCCTCCTCAGATGACGCATTTTCCGCCAAGATGGTTGTCGGTGCCTTTCCAATTGCAAAGCTGCTCTATCTGGGCGTACGACAATTGAGCAAACCAGTGGCTAACAGGATAAAAGCAGGCGCGCGGAGAAGTGAATTCTTTAAGAATTATATCTGCCTTCCTCCGGCTCAAGGTAGGCTGGCTTTTGGTTGTTCGTGTTTAACGATGTGATGTCAGTCCATATGATGTCTGTAGGTGTAAACGTCGGGGCAACACGCAGCCAATAGCCGTTTGCTTGTATGTGCTATTTAGCCAATCACGACTGCTGCGATGTTGTCATTGGGTGTTTTCAACTACAGATTTACCCAGAGACCAATGAGATGCTAGAAAGAAGGTTCCATTTAGACAAATGAGATTCGGGTTTGCTTAAAAGGGTGGGACTCAACTGTCATTGAGGCTACAGCGAGTAACTGAAAGTGCCTTTTGCTGCTTGAAATCTACTGAATGGACCCTTTTCACATTTCCGGGTTTCTCAGCAGCGGAAGTCGTCATAGTTGGGTAAACTTGAAGCGCAGTGAATGGGAGAGCACCACAAATATATTTTTTGCATTCCCAGTTGCTCAAATAGCAAAAGAAAAACTCCACGATAGTGTTTTCATGACTTTCAATAAAAGGAAAAAAACTGAGAGAGACTGATAACGGCTGTCTGAAGGTAGAACGATGTAAAATTTACAGTCTGTAAAATATAAAAAAATATACCGTAATAATTGATCATTTTGACCCATACAATGTGCTACTTATGACTGGATTTGTGGTCCAAAGGGTCACATTTAATATTATAAAGTAATATATATATATATATATATATACATACATTTTCATTTATTTATTAATTAATGTATATATAATATGAGAGCAATATCAACTATGTCTAATACAAGCTTTTTCTTTGGTTATATGTAGCCTTGTTTGTACAATATGCTATATATCTGAATTTTCAGGCAGAAGTAGATAATGTAATGATAATTAAATCAATTATTTCTTCTTTTTATATAATATGTTTAAATACTAGTCTCTTTTAATATATTTTTTAATACTGTACTTTTTACATGCTAGTCTCTTTTTTAATATTATAGCTTTCATATAGTAGTCTCTTTTTAACATTGTTATTGTTTGTAATCGTATGTTTTTTATACTGTAATCTCTGTTATGTTGGTTACCACGAGCATGAAGGTAAAACCAAAGTGTGTCTTAAAGGGGTCCTATTATGCTTTTTCACTTTTTCAACTTTAGTTAGTCTGTAATGTTGCTGTTTGAGCATAAAAAAGATCTGCAAAGTTACAAAGTTCAAAGTCCACTTTAAAAGGAGATATTTTATTTAACAGAAATCACTTTTCAAAAACTACAACGAACGACTCGTTTGGACTACAATGCATATTTTCCGACGAATGGGACGAGACCTTGGTTGAGCTGCACTAGAGAAGGCAATGAGTGTTATCACTATGTCGGAGACATGCTAGCTTTCCCAAGGCAGACGAACTTAGAGTGGTTACAATCCTCCGGGTTTAAATCGCGCTCAAATTGATTTGATTTTGATGCAATATTTACACTGAAGCTCGCAGGCGGCTATGGTAAGGGGCGTGACATTTCCCGACCACGCACCGAGTGCTGCCAATCACAGCACACACTGGCCCAGCAAACCAATCACAGCACATTTCATATTTCAGAAGGCGGGCCTTCATTTGATACAGGAACTATTCGAGCCGTTCATGCCAGACTGGGGAGAGAGGTGTTGTAATAATGTAAAATATGTGAAAAATAATGTGTTTTTCGAACAACCTAGTATGAGAGCCTGTTCTAGTACACCCCCAAAACAAAATCAAGACTTTGTAAAAGGGCATAATAGGACCCCTTTAACTTTTTTTTTTTTTTTTTTTTTACAGTGGATTGTTGAAATAAATCTGTCAGGTAATTCAATGTGTGGTGCCTCTTGTCTTCTCCATAGCATATCACTGGATCGAGATGAGAACAAAGATGAGAATTATGGGTTTCCGTGGCTCCACCATCAATCCTCTGAATGAAGAGGCAGCTGCGGAGCTCGGAGCAGAGCTGCTCGGTGAAGCTATCATTTTCATCATCGGCGGAGGTTGCATGGTGCTTGAGTACAGCCGTCAGGCCGCCAACTCCAGGCGCAAGGAAGAGGAGCTCGCACAAACCATTAACAGTCTTCAGACACAACTAGGAGAGCTTGCACTAGCCACAGAGACACTGGATGCCCAGATCAGAGAGGTTAATAGACTAATGTTGTCCCTCCCAGCGGCTCCAACTACCAAGTAACAATATGCATCACTAAAATACGCCCTTTCTAAGAAGGGCAAAGAGACTGATTTATGAGAACATATCAGTAGTGGTGCAGCACTGCCATATATACACACACAGTCTAGGTTCAGCCATCCCACACACACAAGGAAACCCCAGGTTATATAAACGAGGAAGGAACAGAGAGTTTGTGTGTGATTGGGTGACTGGCCACCAGTATAACACTTCCTATTCGTTATTTGTTTGGTTGGATGATGCTGTTTTCAATTGAAAGTTCTAGTTATTTGATGACTCTGTTAAACCATTGCCAATGCTTTACCGCTTACTATTCTGCTCATCAGTTTGGACGTTATTTCATAACATTTTCTTCATATAATATGCTGATGGAGTTGGGCATTCATCATTTATTAATGATTTGAAAATGCACTTGAATTTTCGATACTTGAATGACAAATTCCATATTATATAGTAAATATGGATGTGTCCCTCGATATAGGAAACAGAGAGCCATCTCTGTGTGTCCTGCAAGAAAATCCCCATTACATTAAAAGACTGCTGTGTTTAATATGGCATGTGTATATGGGTGTATATTTATGATTGTAAAATAAAGTGAAATATTCTGATGCTTGTTTTTTTTTCTTATGTCTTGAATGTATTACAATTGTGAAAATATTATGTAATTGTGAAATGGCAATCTTAAATAATCATAATGCGAAAGTTTTAGCACTTCAGTTTACATTGTATTCAAGGCACAAAATTAAATTTAAAAATGGAAAAATCATTCATTTGAAAAGCTTGAGCAGTTTTGAAATACTATACGAACTATGTTTAATACATTTTTTCTTTCTTTCTTTCTATACCCCTGACATGTTTGGATATATGTAGTCATGTTTGTACAATGCTTGTTTGTGCTCTCTCTCTCTCTCTCTCTTTCTCTCTAGTCTTCTATCAGCCAAGAAGTTGACCGAGCAAAGCCAGTGAAGAGCAGAAGCAGGAGACAAAGTGTTTATGATAAAAAAAAGAGCAAAGTGTTATGTCACAGGCAAAAGCAATGGAAATTACCGCTTCACAACATCACATAAACCTTGAATTTCCATAAACATTCCCTCTTATCACTCATGAAGACAAACATCCCTTGAAACCTAAGACTAAGATTTGTTAAGACTAAACAACAATGGAAAAATAATATAAAAAGTAATCATATAATATAAAGAATAATCGATTAATGAATCTATTAAGTGAGTATATAAATGGCTATAATGATTACTATAAATTACTATATGATTACATGGAATAATTAAATGATACATGAAGAATAAAAGAAAGAAAGTAAAAACAAATGTATGGTTGCTCTCTTGAAGCAACACACAGAGTTTGCATGTGAGGATCTTTAGATCCTTCAGTATAGACTATAATTACAGAACATTGAGAAGCCACAAAGCATAAACTAGTGTAATTAAAAAAAATTACGGTAATTAATTATTAGCTTTTCATCAGTTTACAAATCCCCTGCACTTCCTTCACAAACCCCTGCTGGGGAAACCCTGACAATGTAATGTTGCATGCACTTCATAAAGAATCACTAATGTGCTTTAGTCGAGACACTTTAGTTTTGTCTACTATTTACATTTCTTTACAAATGCACATATTACATTTTATTGGGTAGAATTAGATTAAAAAAGAGTAACATTAGTAGACATTGACTGGGCTTGATAATGAACTGAATAGTAAAGGTACTGAACTATCAGTATATTCCAGATGTGTCCAGAAGGTGGCAGCACTCAAACACTTTGGACAACACTCAGTATGTCTTCTGCTGCCTTGTGCTGAAGCCCGCGCTGTCAAACACTCTCCTTCAACTAACCAAGAGCTTGTGCTATGGTAAGCTCATGATACCTTTTTAACTGACATTTTAGAATTTGCATTAGAGAAATGCACGTCCATTTACATGAGCCGAGTTAACATTAGCTGGCATAACATACTTCATAGCTTGACAAAACAGACATGTGCATGTGTCATTTCTCATATCACATCATAATGTGAATGCATTTATTGAATTACAGTAGATGTGCCTGTTTGCCAATGCATTTTACTACACAACTTATGTGTGCACATGATTTAGCAAATTAGCTGGGTAAATGTCCCACCCTGTCGGTTTAAACTGGTAGCTGTGTTTTGGAAACTGATAGCTGGTTTCTATCTGGTCTAACCTTGTCATTAGTAGGTCCAAGTTGGTTATTAACTGATTAAAGCTGATAGACCATATCTTGGACCAGCCACAAACCAGCCATTACATGATCCTAAAGTGGGCTTGCTGGTTTTTGAAACATGATAACTGGTTTCTAGCAAGTCTGAGCTGGTCATTTTGTGAGACCAACTTGGATCAGCAACAAGGTTGTTAAGCTGGTTTTTGAATCAGTCAGCTAGTGACCAGTTTAGACAGATGCTAAAAATCAGCTAACATGTTCTAAAACACAGATGTGGATATGCATCAGCGTATATTGATGTTTTGACACAACCATAGTTCATTTTGGCAGGTTTAGGAGCGAGAGCTTCTCGCTATGTCATGCAGAAGAAACTGAAAGTGAATGAGCTGAAAGAGGAGTTGCAGAAGCGTGGGCTGGACACCCTAGGCCTCAAAGTGGATCTGGTGGAGCGGCTGCAGGCGACTCTGGAGGCTGAAAAGGAACCCACCTGCAATGATGAGACAGAAGCAGGTAATCGAGTTTGCATGCATGATGATCATTTGATGCATGCTTTGACTAATGAAAATGAAAACGCACTCAGCCGAAACATTTGTGATCTCATTGCTTGTTTGCCTGTGACAGGTGTTGCAGAGGCTGGGAATGATGAGTGTTGTGACCGAGGGCAGATGGCTGCTGAGAAAGAGGGCTCTTATATATACCCCAGGCCAGGGTTTCTGAAGTCTCTAAAGATGAAAATAAACCAGAGACTGTGGATGTACAACAGGCAACCGTTGAGACAATCTGCAAAGAGGGTAAGACTGCAACTGCCATTTGTGGGTTTGAATGCATTTCATCAGCAGTTTTGAATTTTGTGACTCCATGCTTGTTCATGTAAACGTAATTACGAGTTAGCAGTCAAATGATGTAGATTTCTAAGATTCTTAGAGAGCAGGGTGTTCGATGACTGAAAAAAAGCCAAAATATATATGATATAGATTTCAATTTAAAGGTATCAAATAACACATGCTTTAGTGAATTTTTATGCATTTTACATAATGTTTACTGAATTAGAATAAATCATTTGAAAATGAATCAATATGAAAAATAGCTTGTTATTTTCACATTCTATTTTCTTATAGTTTTCACAAATAAAGACACATTTAAAAACACAAATAAAAGGAAGTAAACACAGTAACCAAAAGTGCACTTCGTAATCTGGTAAATCTGTGAACAAGTCATATTTTCTCAAATGAAGAACAAGTAATTCTAATTTTACATTAAGTACACAGTGAATAAAACAGCGGCCAACTGGATACAACACAGCATACAGTAGTGTGAAATCAAAGGATTTCAAGTGTGCCAGCGTTGTGTATCGAGTGACAGCAGAACTCTCCTGTCTGCATCCAATTTGCATATTCACGGCGCTGTAATAATAAAAATAAAATGAAATAAAATAAAAATAATAAAAATTAAAATCCCGCTTCCGACACTTATTGACCAAACAGAAAAACATAAAGGCTGATGTCACTCATTAAAAACAGCTGAATATCGACTAATATATTACATTTACATTTAGTCATTTAGCAGACGCTTTTATCCCATGCGACTTACAAATTAGGACAATTTTCTCCACTTCATGGTATGTAAAATAATTGTTATTTCATTATTGCAGATTTATATAAAGTTTAGCAGTTGCATTTCCTACATGTTTTTTATTATTTTTATAATCATAAAATGAATCAAAGTTTGCCTTTTGCCCAAATTTTGATTGGGAAATCACTATATTGGATTATTAACTTTATTGCATTCTCAAGCTTTTTGACTCTGAGGCCCTCTGTTGCTAACAAACATATTTGACCCCGGGCCTAGATCTCTTTCAGTTGTTTGTGATTTTCTAGAAGAATTAAGGTTAACGATTTATAAGTTTTTACTCACAATGTCTGCCTGATCAATTATTTTAGAGCTTGGCTTAATTAGCAATATGTGTGTTCATTATAAAATGTCCAACTTCCAAAAGTTTTTATTAATGTACTTTGTAGTTACTATATGTTTTACTAATTTCAGTTGTTTTTGTATAATTTAATCCTTGTTTTGTCATGTTTTAAATCATTTTAAGGCCCCTTTGGAAGTTTGCTGCGGCATAGCTTGCTCGCCCCCTTGGTTGAGAACCTCTGCTTTATATTGAATATTTATTGTTTAACAAGACATGAAGTGGCACCAGTAAAGGTGAAAAATGAGGATGATATAAAGGCGGAGCAACAAGAACAGCAGCGACCGGCCCCTGGCAGTGAATGGGAAGATCTGGAGAGCCAGCAGAATGCAGAGATCAAGACTGAACAGGACAGACATGCACATTATGGCCACAAGAGGCGCTATGATGACAGCCACGGTTTCAGCTATTATGAACAACACCGTGAAGACAGGAGGTGAATTTACCACAGTGATTTTGTTTTAATCCTATATCACCATTAGCATTTTGACTTAATGCACACTAACAAATGCTGTTACATTTACATTGTGATTTTCTACGTTTTATCACAGGTCCGGCACACCTCTGCCATCTGCTGAAGAGGATGAGGAAGACTTTGATGGCACACTAGTGGTCATTGACACTTGTACGTGTGAGGGCTTGTTTTGTGTAATTATGATTTATGATATCTCTATAATAGTAATAATAATGGAATTCTCTCTGTAAACCTCGACAGATAACTGTGACTTGCACTTCAAAGTCTCTCAGGACCGTTGCAGCGGCTGTCCTTTAACCATTGAGGGGTTTGCTTACCTATGGTCTGGAGCACGAGCAACGTATGGTGTAAACAAGGGATGCGTGTGCTATGAGCTGAAGGTAATGTACATTACCTTTCAAAAATTTGAGGTTGATAATACTTTTTTAATGTTTATATTCTTAGGCTTACCAAGTCTGCATTTATTTG